TTGAGGTTACAGCCAGTCAAATCGAACCACCCCATACAAAAACACAGTAGTGAAAATAACAAATAAAATTTAAAGTTTATTTCTACCAAAAATTTTATAATTATCTGGAGATTATACAGATTTTGCATGTGAAATTTGAACATGTTCTAATGCATTAAAATATTTTCAATCTTAAAATCAAAATTTCTTTGCATGTTGGATATTCAACATTCAGAAAGAAAAAGGTTTATGAGAAAATCTTTAATTAAAAAATCTTAATACTTAATTTAAAAACCTGATATTTTGTATAAGAAAACCTTGTAATGTTTACCAATAACCTGAAATTTTTTGTAAAGATGTACATATATTTTCAAAAATTATAGTATAATTACTCTCATGGTTATGAGCTGGGTAGATTCCACCGACCCTGTAATGAAAGGATTAACCTGTGTGGTCACAGGCTACAAGGATGGTTAGAGGTGAAGTGATTAGGTATAAAAACTGTTGCCATAGATCTTTAATAACTATTGCATTAGTTCTTGAAAAAATAGCTTGAAAAAAATATAAAAAATTAGTATTAGAGCATAGTAAAAGTAACTAGTTTCAACAGAATGGTTTAAGAAAAAGTTGGTAAAATGTTTCAACAGGTAGGCTAGAAAACATACATGTATAGCAATACAAAGATGAATTGTAAAAGATGTTTGATCTTTATATAAAATTAAGCATATAATAAAACATTACTGGATAACAGCATATGATTTTACTTTTCACTCTTACTCTTAGAATTGTATTATATAAATGATCCCTACCTGTTTCCATCTGCCACACATAAACAGAACCATCAGCACAACCAACAACCATAAAGTCATCAGCAGGACGCCATTTAATAAGTTGAACAGGGAATAAATGACGACTTGCTAACATTACACATTTTCTTTCTTTCAGTCCAAGTAAACTTACTGAATGATCACTGGCCACTGAACATACACACTGAAGAACTCTAGCCTAAACAAATTTATATAAAGAATTAATAGAAATAAACATGTACATGAAAATAAATATCTGCAATGTTATCATTAAAGTTTCCATTCAGTTTCATGCAATATCATAAAATTATGCATACAAGATATTTACATACAACCACATGTTAACACATACAAATATCTACTGCACTTTGAAGGAACACTTCACACTCCTTACTCTCATGGTGGGTTATATATTTAATATATTTGATAAATAGTAAGAAGACAAGTAATTTTTCAAAATTTTACATTGCAATTGACACATCACAGTTGAGAGCAGAGAAAACTTGCTAAAAAAGAAACAGAAATATAGAAAGCAGGAAGAACCACTTTTATTGTACTGATACCTTAACTCAATGATCACTTATACTGACATTATACACCATTTTAAGAGATTGCATACACAGTTTTTATTGGAGCTACCTTTTGATCTACTTCAAAGTCATCAATATGCTTAAATTATGTCACAGAAAAGTCACTCTTACTTTGATATAAAAATGATTTTGTACACTTTTTATCAATTCTAACAAGTGAGTAATAGTTATTCTTCAATATCAATTTTGGGGAGAACCTTACCATTTTTTGATGCTATATTATCAACAAACTGATATCAATAAATGGTGTCATGCACAGAAGAATGTTAATGAACATTCACAGTGACTATTTTAAGAATAAATTTTCCATACTTCTAAAATTCACACACTTCATGAAATGTTGGAAACATTACAACATTAATAATTGACATATCTGGTGTGTGTGTGTGTGTGTATTTATTCAATAAAGTCCCTTGAAAAATATACTAAATGGGTTATATAACAGGTTGAAAATGTGTCAGAATTCATTTTACTGGGGCAATATATATTTATATTTTAAGACTTATAAAACATGCTTTCTTTCTTAAGGCTATGTGAAAACTGCTTTTACCTAATTTTGTGTGAATGATATGTCCAAGATATTAGACTGGAATTAGTGTCTAAGTTAATAGTAGCAATATGTTTACTTCAAATACATTTATGTATGCATTTAATTGCACCACCCATTTTTGAATATCCTGTGCCATTTGATACATTAGGCTTAACAACAGTTGTTGAAATCTAAGGGCATATCATGTCTTTCATTCTCTTTTATTAATATATGAATTTTTCCTTTAGTCCATTTCTGTGCAGTTTTGGAATAAATACATGGCCAGAAAACTTGAAACTGTTTCTTCCAAGTTGTTTTTAACAACATATAGTATCTACTCTGCTTACAAGGATGTTGCAGCAACTTCACATTTCAGTGTAAAAAAGTCAATGGCAATAACATCCTTCACTAGTTGAGTGGATGGATACTGTCTGTATGTTACAGTTCACAAATTCTGTCAGAGAATGACCAGTCATGATTCTTGTTTGTAATAAAAATTGTTTCACCTAACATCACGTATCCAGTCTCCTTATTTCTCACATAGCTTAAAATTTGGGCTTTCAAATTCTGCTTACCCTTTGAATTTCCTGTTTGATCTCTCATTATTATGTGGACCTATCTGATACTTGCATGGAATTTAGTTTCTCTGAGCATACCACAAGTAGAAAAGAAGTTTTTGTACTGTGACCACAGGATTTATTGCAGTTTTCTATCGTCTTAACTCTTTGCATATGTAATTAGTCAATTTGATCAACCTTGTAACCACCATGTACCCATGAAACTATACATACTATAATACTAATTATAACTTCATGGAACTTAGCAAGCTTTTAGTAACTGTTAGAAAGCTGATGTACTCAATTACTCATATTTTAAATAAAGTACTTAAACTAAAATCTGTCCAAGAATTTACAAATCCTTCACTGAGTCAGTCTGAGTAAAAGGTGGTTTGATGATCAGAATAAAAATACTTTTTATTTTACGGTTTTTACTTTCCATTTACATAACCTCTAGAACCTCCTAATTTAATAACAAGTTTTTTTCTGTAATAATCTTATCTCATCTTTTCAAATGTGCAGAAAAATGAAAAGTTGAAGTATACAAAACTAAATGAACAATACTTTTTCTTCTTCTTTGAATGCATCAATTGTCACCAGATCTTCTATTTAATTATCTTCACATCTTCAGCTGTTAACTTTTGCACATCTGTTTTCTTTTGATTTTATTGCTGGTATTTGTACCCACTATGCACATGAAAAGCAATAAATCACAGCAGAAGCACAGTTTAAGCTAAGAAGTTAACATAACACCTCATGACTCAAAATGAGCTAGTGTCAAATTTTATCTGCAGGCAAATCATAAAATATGCTAATGTAACTTCAGATCTTCTACTAAAAGGTTTTAATCAAATAAGCTTATAATTTTCACATGTTAGTTACATTATTAAAAAATACAATAAATACAAATATATGTGTATAAAAGACAAGAAATTTAGCACTTCCATGTCAAATCTTTTTGTGTTTGGATACTGTGGTTGTTAAAAACTAATTCATGTAGCTTCCAAATAAGATTTTAGAATACAAAACATATCAGGCACTACAACAGAATATCTCAAAGCTACTATAACTTACCTGATTTTTAACTAAACTATAAATAGGTTTAAAAAATTCAATTACTGCTCAGAGCAGCAACATTACTCAACACAATCAAGCTTCTCTTATCAACTACCACAGTCAAAATGAAACAAATGACCTTAAGAGTTATGAAGATTAGAATATGGTCTTTGCATTGGTTCTAAACATATTCATCAAAAAGTACATGTGTAAATAATTGGCTTCAAATGTATGAAAAGATGTGAGAACCTTCTTTGGTAGGTTTCACAAATTTATTGATGTTTCAGCAAATCGAAAAGGTAGGATGCTGAAATCTGAAAGTGCAGATATATCATGTGACACAGAAAAATGAAGGTTTATATAATTTTCTTAAATATTTATTGAAACTTATATAATATCAAAATTGAAACTATAAACAACATTTTCATGACAAATTTTCTGAAATATATTTATATTTACTTAAATATTGAAAGTAATTCTGAAAATGTCATTACATGCAAACTTTGACCAACCCATATGCATAGAGTTAGTATGTGTGCTGAGGCTTTCTTGATATTTTAAATATTGAGGCTCCAACTTTGGTTTAACTATATATTAGTCAGCCAAGAAGGACTTAACATGACACTGATAGAGGACCTCCAACAATTGGAGTTGTTCCCTAGCAGGGGGCAATATATGACATAAAGTTCAAATCTTGGAAGAGAACCATCATAGAAAGTCTGGCCACCTATGCAAACAAGCTGCATTGATTGTAAGGGAAGGCCTACTCTGCAATATTATATACAGATTGGGAAGATATATTCATGTACAAGTTCAATGAGAGTCTCCCCAGTGAAAGGCAACATCTGGAGTGTGAAATGAATCCTCACCTTAACCAAGGTAATAATGGCTGGAGACAGCTTGAATGGGTAATGAAGAAAAACTTTAATATAAGTTTAACATAACAGCAAATGTACAACGTTTCGACAAGGTTTTGTCATCGTCAGGTACAAGTAATTTACACTGACACGGATATGAAAAGCTCTCCAACATTCGCCACAATAAAACTCAACTCACAAACAAAATTTACACCAACAAACCCAACAACAGTACATTACACTGCAGTTTACCTTTTGTCCCTGAAACTAGCTCAAGAATTATCCACACTTGGACTAAACTAGCCATTAAACACAATATTTCTGTCAACGTCAAATTCTCACAAAAACCTGGTCCTAAATTGAAATTGTTACTAAACAAAAATTATTTAGAATCACACAATACCAACATCATTTACAAAATAACATGCAATAACAGCCCAGAATTCTACATCGGAGAAACAGGAAGAAAATTGGATACCAGATTGACAGAACACAATAAAAAACCGTCCCATGTTTTTCACCACTGCAACTCAAAAAACCATAGTATATCCATAAAAAACAGTCATTTTA